CCTCCCTTGGCTGCTTCAGAGGAGAGCCTCTATTTTCACCCATCTTCTTTATCTTCTTTCTTCCTTTTTCCATGGCCAAATTTGATGAAGGAAAGAAACTGGGTTTGTATGCTGGTTCAAGGGATGGCATCCCTCCTTGCGTGCTAATATCCCTTGGTTCCTTGAAGGATTTTTGCTTGGAACTTGCTCCCCCATGTGCTGGAACCTCTAGCAGCTTTATTCAATAAACCTTCAGACCTCCCTCTTCGTGGCTTTTGTTCTCCCAGCCAGCTGGGGTAATTGTATGGGCCAAGATGGCTCATTAAGTAAGTGGGCTTTTTTGGTTGAGTCAATAGGCTACTTTTTGATTGGGCTATTTTCATTAAACATTTGGGCTTTTGGTAAGGTTCATAGGCTATTTTGACTGGGCTATTTCTTCCTCTTGTGCTCACCCACATGTTTGGGCCTAAGAAATGGGCTTGAGTCTCGAGGCTCCCAAGCGACTCGGGGCTTCCATTTCTCGGCCCATCAATGGGCCTCATGTTGATTTATTACCATCCATACCACAACCCACTCAAGCAAGCCCCGTGCATTTGAGTGGCTTGGGCCCACTTAAGCTTGTAGCGTGACGTGTTGCTTATTTGCTTGGCGTGGCATGTGTGCAAGCGCGTATGACGAACTTTCGCTTGCCCTAATCGGGCTTCTCCTCGGTAAGGTATTGCATTGGGCCGAACCGTGGATTTTTTGGGCCTCAACAATTATTAAATTACGTTGATGCCCTATTGAGTGTTTTGGGCTTTTTTATGAGATTTTGGGGTTATGTTTGTTTTAAGAAATCAATAGCAGTTTTGTAATTTAAAAGAAGTTAAAGCCTTTTTGTTATGTTGTAAATGGGTTTTGGGTGTGTTTCTAAAGTCCATTTCATATAGGGCTTTTTTTTAATTTTATAATTTTTGCTCCTATATTGGGTATAATAGTGAATCTCCCTAAAAACTATACAAGCTTATTCTTAGAAATATTTTAAAATATATATATTTACAAAGTTATTTTACAATGAGATATTCATTCATACAAAGCCATTTTCACAACAGGATATTCACATATAACAAAGCTAAGTCACCACATCTAGCTAGTCATAGTTAAATATCAAACTCACCACTATATATATATATCGTTGTCTCATTGATGTCGTCAAATTTCATTTGTATCTTTGTTTGGGGATGGCTTGATTATAACTTAGCTGCTTAAAAAAAAACTTATGGCTTCACTTTTCATTCCAATTTATAGAGCTATGAAGAGTTTCATAACTTATATGACCTGCTTCATTTACTATAAATAAACAAATGTAATAACACTTTACTCTAGGGGTGGGCACGATACGGGATGACACGGGATGGAGGTCATCCCAGTGTCAATTCCAGACAAGGGAATTGGGATGGGAGTTTTTGGGTCCGGTATTGATACTGTAAAAAATATGCAAAAATTCAGAAATCTTGCAATTTTTATAAATCAAGTCTGATACAAAGCTTCCAGTACCAACAATACGATCATCGACCCCCTGATTTTTCTACACAAAAACTCAGATAGACTTTGGGGCTTTCCTTTTCCACCGGTTTTATACACTTTGGAGAAGAACACACACAGAGAGAGAGAGAGAGAGAGAGAGAGAGAGAGAGAGAGAGAGAGAGAGGAGGAGAAGAAGAAAAGAGAAGAATAGAGGGAAGGAAAGGAGAAGAGAAGGGAGAAGAATAGATAGAATAGAGGGAAGAAAAGGAGAAGAGAAGGGAGACGGAGGAAACAAATCTGGAGTCGAAATGTTCGTGGGAGAGGAGGAATCTAAAATTGGGTTTTATTATTTACTTGGTACTGTTTGGTACGGTATGGCACCAAACGAGATCACAAATCTGGAACTGGTGTCATGCCAAACAGTAACAGGATGACACGGTATCATTCCGTTTACACTTTAACACCAAATGGGACAACATGAGATTGGCACGATTTCGGTATTCTGGTTTTGATGCCCACCCCTACTTTACTCTATTCAAATTTAGGAGCATTTTTGCTCACCACTTTAATCAAGGTGTATGCTCACTACCATTCTCAATACTTGACACGTGTCCATAAGTATAACCACGGTTATATAAATCAAAGTAAAAAGTTAACCATGGTTATGCGTATGGATACATATCAAGTATTAAAAAAGGTGGTGAGCATACACATTGGGTTAAAATGGTGAGCAAAAATATTTCCATTCAAATTTAGGGATATTTGTTTTCAACTTCTTGGAATTCTAAACTTTCATGTATTGAGATATATATTTTAAATTAAAGGGAAATTTTATTAGATAAACTTCAACGATATAATAAAAGCATCAACCAATTTCAAGAAAGCAACAAACTAACGTACTAAAATCAAAACTAAAGCCGACAATGAACATGGTTAATAGATAGATAAATGACACAAATTCATTATTAAACTATATTTGTGATCTATGATCTAAAACCTATATTAGCCTTCGACACAACAAAATGAACCTCAGTTGCTTGCCAATGCCATGTTAAATTCGTTAATTTAATTTCTAAAAATAGAATTATTTTAGAGAGATTCACTATTATACCCAATATAGGAGCCCAAATTATATAAAAAAAACTCTATATGAAATGGACTTTAGAAACACACCCAAAGCTCATTTACAACATAACAAAAAAACTTTTAACTTATTATAAATTACAAAACTGCCATTGATTTTTTAAAACAAACTCAACCCCAAAACCTCACAAAAAAGCCCAAAACACTCAATATGGCATCAAAGTAATTTAATAATCAAAATTAAATTAAATAGGGTCAGCTGTTAATTTTTGGGTGTTTTTTTGGGTTTGTTTATAAAAATTAAATGGTGTATGATTTATTTATAGTTTTAGTGCTAAAAATGAATATATCACTAAGGAAAATGCTAGGGAGACCAACTTTAGATACCAAATTGTGTACCAATTCTCTAATATAGCATGAGACCCATTGTATTGGTGGGCTCCACCTCCATTAGAGAGTTGGTACACAAGTTGGTATCTAAAGTTGGTCTCCCTAGCATGACTCACTAAATATCTCATATTTTTATGGATTAACAAAACTTTAGTCCCTGGAGGTTTAGTGTCATTATCGAAATGGGCCCCAAGGTTTCAATTCAATCAATTTCATACCTGACATTTCCAAGTATTACCAATTTACACCCGCCGTTACATTGACCGTCAAAGTTAGACGTTAAATGCTGACGTGGCAGTCGTGGGACCCACCTCATAACCAAACAGTAATTAGAAAGAGACCAATATGGGACGAATAATATTAAAAAGTTATTTATTTTTAAAGTTAATTAAAATCAATTATTTAAAACCAAAAAAAAAAACATAATTAAAAAACCCTTCAAACTCCCCACCCGTCAAACCTAAATCCAAACCCAGCATCTCCACCACCATCCTTCTTCCTTCTTCTCTCCACCCATCAAACCCTAAATCCAAACCCAGCATCTCCACCACCCACCCTTCTTCTTCCTCCTCCTTATCTTTCAAAAAAACAATTTAATAAAATGAAATGAATATACCCAGAGCGTTATGCCTGGAAGATTCACGCATCAAGTTGGCACAGAATTGGTCTCCATCGTTCAACCAGTTTTTACTCAAAAATTCCATCACTTCTTCATATGCCTCGGGGTTGTAACTCTTCTCTGGGAATTTACTCTCCACGCAGCCCCGCCCCAGCCCCATCCCCTTTCCCTCCTCCTCTGAAATATCTCCGCCCCTCTTAGTCTCTCTCTCTCTCTCTCTTACATCTGGTTCGATCCAGTTATGCTAATACACCCATATTCCCACCACTAAGCCCCATACCCAGATCTGCAAGTGGCTAGAAATTTCCGGGTGATTGGGAAGTGCGATGGGCAATTGGGAGGGGCAATAAGGAGGTGCGAATTTCCGGGCAATCGAGAGGTCTTTGTCGACCTCGAAAACCCAGGTGGTTGGGTCATCGTCAACCTTGAAAACTAAGCGACGTCGTCGCGAACCCATATGCCGAATCTGCCATACGTCTCCGACGACGCGCAGATCTCCTCCTCAGATCTATTGGCTAGGGCTCTGGTATTGGTTGGGGCTAGGAGGAGAGGACTGAGGGAGAATGAGGTGGTGGGTGGTGGGTGGTGGGTGATGAACGAAGGTGGGGATGTTGGAAGAGAAGGAGGAGGAAGAAGAAGGATGGGTGGTGGAGATGCTGGGTTTGGATTTAGGGTTTGATGGGTGGAGAGAAGAAGGAAGAGGAAGAAGGATGGGTGGTGAAGATTTGGGTTTGGATTTAGGTTTGACAATAGGGTTTTTTAAAATCAATATTATGTATTATTATTATTATTGATTTTAACAATATTATTGATTTTTAAAAGGTTAACTTTGGAATAATTATGTATTAAAAAGGTTAACAATAGGGTTTTTTAATTATGTTTTTTTTATAAAAAAAAAATTGATTTTAATTAACTTTAAAAATAAAGAATTTTTTAATATTATTTGTCCTATATTGGTCTCTTTCTAACTGCTGTTTGGTTATGAGGTGGGTCCCACGACTGCCACGTCAGCATTTAACGTTTGACTTTGACGGTCAATGTAACGGCGGGTGTAAATTGGTAATACTTTGAAATATCGGGTATGAAATTGATTGAATTGAATCCTTGGGGCGCATTTCGATACTGATACTAAACCTCCAGGGACTAAAGTGTAGTTAATCCTATTTTTATTTGTTGTTTGTTTGGTCCTCAAGCGCCGACCGAACCATCCAACTCCAAATCCCAGCCGCCAAACCATTTCCTATCAACAGGGATGGTGGGACCTTCCGCTTTTTTATTAAACTAAAAACACTCCAGAAAGATGGAAAATTCAAATTTCAAAATTTGAAACGCGTCGTTTATTACTAGCAGAGACCCAATCTGTGGGGCCCGCCATATTCCAAACGGTGCACATTCGACCCGAAAGCATATTCATATAATTCAACCTCGTGACTCTGACGCTTGTCCAAAAACTGTTACAGAGAAAGAGAAAAAGGAGAGAAGAAGAAGAAAGGAGAGCACTAATATTTGACCATTCGAGATTTCATAGGGATTTTTATTTTGCGTCTTTCCGACTTCCAAGTCAAGCTTCTCTGCTGCCGCTGCTTTGTTCGTTTGTTGTTTACTTTTCTTAATTGTTAAGGAGGAAGAGAGATTAGGGTTTTGGATCGGAGAGAGAGAGAGAGCTGAGATGACGACGATGGAGAGCTTGATCGGGTTGGTGAATAGGATACAGAGGGCGTGTACTGTGCTGGGTGACTATGGAGGCAGTGATAGTTCTTTCTCTTTGTGGGAAGCTCTGCCCTCTGTTGCCGTCGTCGGTGGCCAGGTCTGTCTCTCCCCTCACCGCCTTTGAATCATTTTGTCCCATTTTTATGATCTTTGTTTGTTAAAGGGGGTTTTAGGTAGAAAAAGTGAGAAAGGATGAGATTTTTTTGGTAGATATTGATTGAAAATTACTCTCATTGAGAAAAAAAAAAAAAAAGGTTTAAGAGACAAAGTTGAACTGATGTTCTCTTTATTATTGTTGTTTTTTAACATTTGGTTTTTATTTATTTAATTTTTTCTATTTTTGGAATGAGAACAGAGTTCGGGGAAGTCTTCGGTTTTGGAGAGCATTGTTGGGCGTGACTTTCTCCCCAGAGGATCAGGTTGATTTAAAGCTTTGAGTTTAATTCACAATGTTTAGTTCTTCTTTCTTGGTTTTCTATCTTTGATTATGGCATTGTTTTCTTAAATAATTGCAGGGATTGTGACAAGGCGGCCTTTGGTGTTGCAGCTCCACAAGACAGATGAAGGAACCCAGGAGTATGCCGAGTTCCTTCACCTCCCCAAGAGAAGATTCACCGATTTTGGTATGTAAATGATCCTCCCTATGTTTCCTGTATAGATGCGAATGTAGGTTTCTTTCACTTATATAAGTGTAAGATTGATTCTTTCTAGCTAATAAATGATGGATTTTACACAACTGTGTTGTTCACGTTCAGCTCATAGAGAAAAGTCATTATTATTCAGTTCATAAACAGTTTATGACAGTGTGTGTATGATTTTTAAGTCATTGTGCAGGTGAAAGTAGTTCTCCATTTGATCACCTTATTTGTAGTAAAGCTGGAAATTTTGACGTCTGAGCATTTATAGTTGTCCCACCTACTGAAATTTGTTGAGCACCTCTAATGATTCATTTATTTAAGTTTAGGTAGAAGCAAACTGTCAATCTGATTACATTGGCAGACAAATGGATTCACATTACAGATCAATTTTAAAATGATTTGAAATGAAAGTTTGGTTAATCTTTCAGTTGGGGTTTTTAATGAGCTTGTCTGCCAATTAATAATTATTTTTTGTTTTTTTGTTTAATAGTAACTCATGCACATGCTCTTGATATGGCACTTTGCTTTCTTCACCTGACAGTGTCTATTGCTTTATTGCAAGAAACCGACACCCAAAACTGATATGTTCTCGTCTTTCTGCAGCCATGGTTCGAAAGGAAATTCAGGATGAAACTGATAGAATAACAGGAAAGTCAAAACAGATATCTCCTGTTCCCATACATCTCAGCATCTACTCCCCGAATGGTATGTTACTAATACCATTTTTTAAAAAAGTTTATTTATTATCTAATGTTTTAATACACTCACTGGAACCTTGTCATCCAAGCAACAAGCCGTAAATTTTCAAAGCCTTGCAGCACTTAGTATCACTCTTTTGTGTGTGTGTCTTGCGGGTTAATTTTGTATTGCAATTTATCATCTTTGTGCTTATGCTTTGTTGTAGCTCCTAGCAGTAGTTGGTACTTGTAATTGGCTCACATGATTATTTCACATATGCACCCTTAAAAATGCAACTTAAAAAAAAGCTCCTTCACAAAATTTTGAGGCTGTCACAGTTCCTAAGCGTAATATGTTTTTATGTGAGACGAAAATATATATGTAAATTCGGATGATCTTTGCTAATAAAGTGATCTAGTTTTGGCACCCCTTTGATAACTCTTAGGTATTACTTCTTCTAATCTTTTTTTCTCTTGCATTAATATGTCATTTTTCGTGGTTCCTCTGTGTTCTTTTGTGGCATAAGAGAGGGAGGAATATTGGAGTTTCATTTTACATTATCAAATTGTTGTATTTCTTTTCCTTACACTAATTCTTGATCTCCTTTGTTTGGCAGTTGTCAACTTAACCCTAATTGATTTACCCGGTTTGACGAAAGTTGCTGTTGGTATGTTTATTTCCAATGCTGATTGTGTGTTGAATTGCATGATGCGATTTTATTTGTCAGTCACCAACCAAGATGATTATTCTTTTCAGAGGGCCAGCCTGAAAGTATTGTTGAAGATATTGAAAATATGGTTCGATCTTATGTTGAGAAGGTAATGAATCATTATGAAATCATAAACATGCACAAACACCTGCATTCAGGAATTGACATTCAGGGAGTTTTGAATTCACTGACTTGTTGCCAAATGCACAGAAATATTGATGTCCAATGATATGATTGAAATGTTATAATTAACAAAAATTGTTGGTCTTTCTCACTTCCAACTAGCCTTGTCAAAAGCTATACTTGTTTTGTGTTTCAGTTTTATAAAGTTAAGCTTGAATATTGTCCATCTGTCACTGCTTTTAGTAACTGTTGCAAATAGTAATTTTTTTTTTGGGTGGCATTTGTAGCATCTCATGCACCTTCAGGAGTGAGATCCCGTTTTGCAGGAATGTGAGGCCACTCGATCAACTGGCCTCTCTCATTCCATAAAACAGGATTCTGCTCGTGAAGTTTTTATGTAGTTTCTCTACATCCATTACAGAGATAACCATTTCTCTTTTCCTATGATGAAGGTCAATTGACTTCTAATTGATGAGTTTGTGCTTATTGTAGCCTAATAGCATCATACTAGCAATATCTCCAGCCAACCAAGATATAGCCACATCTGATGCTATCAAACTTGCTAGGGAAGTGGATCCAACAGGTATGCTCTATTTATTCCCGAGTGTAGCCATTTCCCTCTTTTGACTTGTGCTATTACTTAATTTTGTCTTCTCTTACATCATTCTCTTTATAACTCGCAGGTGAACGAACATTTGGGGTGTTGACAAAGCTTGATTTGATGGACAAAGGAACTAACGCGTTGGATGTATGATCTCTCTCTCTCTCTTACTATAAAGCTCAGTCCTATGTAAATGGTATTTGACTGAGCAAGCTTTCTGGTGAAATACATTAAAATTTTCAAATAGATGAGACCGGGCCTTTAGCATTCAAAATACAGCAGTTTTCAAACATATTAAAGTGATCTATTTTTTATTTATATAAAATTTTATGGAAGTGACCCGTAAAACTCTGCTCTGGTTTTCTTTACATTTTACTATGCTTGACACTAGATACCCTTTGCACTCATGGTTTTTACTACAGCTTTGAACCTGGAACCAAAAAAAAAAAAAAAAAAGGTACAGAATTTGTTCTTTAATCTCTTACATCTCTGTCCACAAAGGTTATTGAAGGAAGATCTTATCGCCTGCAACGTCCTTGGGTTGGAGTTGTCAACCGTTCACAAGCAGATATTAATAAAAACACAGACATGGTTCTCGCGAGGCGAAAAGAGCGTGAATACTTTGCAACCAGTGCCGACTATGGGCACTTAGCTAGTAGAATGGGTTCTGAGTATCTTGCAAAACTTCTCTCGAAGGTTAGTATAAAATATGTTTGTTGCAGTGGAAAATATTGCTTGAAATAGGGATCATTATCCGTTGCTTGAAATAGGGTATCTTGTTTCGTTGCTTGACAAAGGGTATCATTTTGATGGGTTGATATTGTTTATAGCACTTGGAGTCTGTGATTAGGGCTCGAATTCCGAGTATCACATCTATGATTAACAAAAGCATTGATGAACTTGAATCGGAGATGGACCATCTCGGTAGGCCTATTGCCGTTGATGCTGGGGTGAGCTGTCTTTATCTTCTGCACTTGATCATAAATAAAATGTTTTTTGTGCAATCATGAGTTTGTAACCAAGAGTTTGTATTTTAGGCTCAATTATACACTATCCTGGAACTTTGCCGTGCATTTGACCGGATTTTCAAGGAGCATTTAGATGGAGGGTAAGACAAGATCTATTTATTAAAACTTCGTCTCATCAATGTATTTAGAATTTAGTTTCTAGGATGAAAACTATTGTAGATCTTAAATTTGACCAATTTTCAGTCTTAAGTTTATTGGAGCATATGTAATTATGTACCATTGAGTTGATTTTATACAATGATATGCTTTTGGAGATTATGTTGTTTTTTATATTCTCTTTTAATACATTATTTACCTTTTTTAATTCTTAAGTATCCTTAGCAAAAGTGCCAAAAGCTGAACTCGCTTGAGAGAAGATGCATATGCTAGAAAATTAAATTTGGGTATTCTAAATTTAATGTAGTATGCTGGACAACTCTATGTGGGTGATCTGTGATCTAAATCTAATGTAGATGCTTAGTTAGTAATAGCCGGTTTGGCTGGTACGTTTTCGATATGGAACTACTTGGACAGTCAAGGTTTGGCCATTTGTAAGTATTTAGTAATGGGGTACCCTAGGTTAATGGCTTTGGGTTGGTTTTAACTTTTAACAGTTCTTGACACATCGCTTCCCTGCTGGAGCCTGAAACACAGCTAGTTGCATGTGCTAGTCTTTTGTTGCTTGCTGAACAGTTTCACTTTGCATAATACACTGCTTCGTAGGGACATGCGAGTGCTACAAATTTGTCATATAAAATGGATTTGTTAACTTAAAGTTGTAGTATCCTCAGATGAATTGCTGATTTCTTTGACCAAAAAAATGCCTACAATACTGTTGTCCGATGATATGTTTGCGCTTCATTTTGTCATTTTAGGCGGCCCGGGGGTGATCGGATTTATGGTGTCTTTGACAACCAGCTGCCTGCTGCGTTGAGGAAGCTTCCATTTGATCGACATCTTTCCTTACAGAATGTAAGGAAAGTGGTTTCAGAGGCTGATGGTTATCAGCCTCACTTGATTGCTCCAGAGCAAGGTTACCGCCGCCTAATTGAGGGATCACTGAATTATTTTAGAGGGCCAGCTGAAGCTTCTGTGGATGCTGTAAGTTATCCCCTTTTATGTACTCTCCAGTAGTCCAGTTTTGTCAGAAATGTTTTTAAAGTTCATCAAGAACCTGATAAACTTTTGCGTCTTTGACTGACCGAAAATCCATACCGTAGGTCCACTTCGTCTTGAAAGAACTTGTAAGGAAGTCATTAGCAGAAACTCAGGTGAAGGGAATTTGTCTGTTACTTATAAAGCTTAACTATTGTTCTTCCAATGAGAAAATGGATTGATTTTGATGTTTGTGACTCAGGAATTGAAGCGCTTTCCGACTCTGCAAGCTGAAATAGCTGCTGCTTGTAATGAAGCCTTGGAAAGGTTCCGTGATGATAGTAAGAAGACAACTCTTCGATTAGTGGACATGGAATCTTCATATTTGACTGTGGATTTCTTTCGGAGACTTCCCCAGGAAGTGGAGAAGCCAGGAAACCCAGGTACCACGACTTCTCCTGCTGTGGACCGATATGCAGAGGGCCACTTTCGGAGGATAGGATCGAACGTATCCTCTTATGTGGGAATGGTGTCTGAGACACTGAGGAACACAATCCCCAAGGCTGTCGTTCATTGTCAAGTCAGAGAGGCCAAAATGTCGTTGCTGAATCACTTCTATATACAAATAGGAAAGAGAGAGGTACTCTTTCACTCTCTCTCTCACCTAAATGCACACAGAAACACTTTTGGATGCTGAGTGATTGTGGATTTATTTCATGTTAGCTTGGATTGTCATCATTGCATTGCCTGCAGCTGATTTGTCATTTAGACGAGTGTCTATAGACTAAAAGGCACAAGCTTCTTGTGGTTGCTGTTTTACAAGATTATGCCCTTTCAATTTCAAAATTTGTTCTTAACGTAGGGCCCGTTTGATAACCATTTCAATTTTATTTTTTAGTTTTCACTTTTTGTTCTAGAGTATAAAGGAAAAAGAGGGAGAATGGAAGTGAGAATGAGAGTGGAGATGGGATTGAGAGGGAAGATGAGAGGGGAGGATGTGAGGGAGGAGTAACAAAAGCGAACAAAAACTAAAAACTGAAATCTATTTGAAATTGTTCACTTTCAAGTTTTTGTTTTCACTTTTGTTACTGCTCCCTCCCATCCTCCCTTCTCATCCTCACTCTAATTTTCCTCTATACTCTAGCACAAAAAATAAAAACTAAAAACTAAAATTGAAAGGGTTATCAAACGGGTCTGTAGGTGTAAGTCTTTTTATTTTTATTTTTGGTCATTAGGAGGTGTAAGCTTATGATTCGACCTTAGGTGCAATGTGTTGATTGTTTTGGACAATAGCTATGTTCGCTTATGGTTTTGATTGGTTGCTGCTTTGGCTTGTGTTTCAGGCTAAGCAGCTTTCCCAGCTGCTTGACGAAGACCCATCGTTGATGGAGAAGAGGCAACAGTGTGCTCAAAGGCTTGAATTATACAAGTCAGCTAGGGATGAGATTGATTCCGTATCATGGGCTCGCTGAGAAGAATTAACAATCAGAGATATCAGAGTTACTGCTACCGATATGTAAACACGACCGAATTTATTGAATTGTTGTTCAATAGAGATCTTGCCCTTTTTTCTTCTTCATACTATTATTCTATGTAATTGTTGACCCAACTTCTCGTGCTTTGGGATGGGATGTTGAACTGTTATATTCTTTTTTTTTTTTTTTTTGGGTCAGATCGATTGCTGTATTTGTTTTGATTACTATTGTGATCATATTAATCTTTTGTACATCTCTAAAACCTTTGTGATATAGTATATTAGAGCATTACTTTAATTATGTCCAGTTCAATTGAGTTTGCAAAATGTAAGAATGGAGATTGGTCCAACTGGTTTTGTACAAACAACTGATTCAGTGTTTGGATTGGAAGCAAACGGAAAAAAATACCACTAACTAGTGTCTAAACATGACCAGAACAGGGTGGACAATATTTTTATTGTTTTTTTAAAGAACCTTATTGTTAATAAACATCATTACTATTAAATACTTGACCAAAAAAAATCATTACTATTAAATAAAAGTGAATTAAAGTACATTGGACTATTAGTCCTTGAACTGGGATCCAAGTTTCAATTTGGTCCTTGAATTAAGTTTTTCAATTTAAAGGTTTCAATTGTAGAAACTTTTTAAATAATAGGTGAATATAACTTCTTTAAATACTTGCTGAAAAATATAAAATCCGTCGTAAAATGAATGGTATATGCGAAAATATTAAGCTGCATGTAAAGTAAATGAGATATAATATTTCACGAGGTTCGGCCTACGTCCTTGGAGAGTAGCAGCAATGACTTTTCCACTACTTAAAATAATAGGGCTACAAGTTCAACTTTAGTGTTTACAATCTCTATCTCACTGATATTTCTCTCTGCTCTCGTTTCTCTCCTCTCACTCTCCTTTCTGTCTTCCTTCCTCTCAGCCTGGGCTCTCATTTGCTTCTTTGATGGTGTGTCATTACAATGAAGGGAGGAAGTACATTTATAGGCAAAGCCTCTTGGCTTCTTGTGGATGTGCAATTATTTCTTCCAATGTGTGGACTCCACTTCTAAAAGACCTTCATCATCACTTTACCCACCCAGACAACAAGTCTCCAAATGAATAGTTAGTGGGCTCCACCACATTCTTTACAACAAAATATTTAAATATAGTTATTGGTACTCAAAAAAAGCAATTATGTAGAGTGCTAATAACAGCTCCCTTTAAAAAAATAAAAAACAACAACATAAATAAGCCCTTCACAACATCCCTCCATAATAATAAAAAACATTTCCTTAACATCCCACTGTTAATACACTTCCTTGACATTATACATTTTTGCACTGTAATGACACTGAATGTCACTCCACCTTTTACATTGGGTGACCACTTTTTACACTGCAATAACATCTTATATACTGTTAATAACACTATAGCAAACCCAAGAAAAGTTGCAGAGCCATACATAATGCCATTCCATGCTACTTATTCACTTTCCCTTATTTTATTTTATTTTGAAATCTCAACTCTTAAATCCAGTTTTTCTCTTTCCCTATGAAAAAAACACTATTCATTTTTCAAATTCCTTAAGATTTTCCACTTCTTAAACAGAATCACCCAAAAAAGGATAAGTAGCAACTGCTCATGAACGAGAGTAATAGCAAGAGAGGAATATGATTCCACAATAACATCAACAATATGGAATCACGAGAAATTGGGCCACAAACACAAGAAATTATAAAATGGTACTGTAGTATGGCCACGTGGTATAGAGTTACACCTGTTATAATATGAGTGGACGACAATGTTGATATTTCCCCGTTTTAAGGAACAATATCAATGATATTCACTTAAATTATAACACATTGAACAAGTTATATCACGTTGTCACTACACTACCAATGTAGTTAACACATAGATACTATTCACGCGACTGAGGATTGCTACGAGCAGCCTCCGCATGTAGCCATGGAACTCCAGTTCTCACCATCTCGAGGGTTTTAAAAAAAAAAAAAAACAAAGTCCGAGTGTGGTCCTTGTATGTAGCCTTCAAATGCCTAGTTTCCGCACAAACTCATTTCATAATCCTCTGTGTGGTCCTTGTATGTGGCCCTAGGAATTTCCACAAGCTGTTGTGTCCCTATTATATTCGAGTTGTTTGGGTTTGGGTAGAAGCCAAATTCAGGACCCTCTCCAATGGCTATCCTGGCTATTCACAAGTTAGGAAAGACACAAAACGACCCTTTTACAAGAAGGAATATGTGACATGGGCACATGGCAGTCGCGTTCACTAAAATCTACCTTTCTTTTTGGACTGAAATACTTTTTTTATATTATACAAAGCGATATTTAGGGAGAGGGGGAATCGAACCGAGGGCCTAGGATGCAGGAGTAAATGTACGATTGTAGTTAAACGTTTTCATTCACTCACATGGATTTAACATTTCAAAATATTAAACCTGACCAAAACTAAAATATGTTGACATTAATCATAGCTAATTAAAACCACACTGGACTTAGCTCAACTTCTACATCTCTCACCACCAGTTATACCAGGATGTCCAATATTCCATAAACTCCATCCCCAGTTGATAGGTATTTCTTTGCTTTTAATTATTTTATTTTCTTGCACAGAAAGCTGCTCGTTTCGCAAGCTCATTATTGTTCAGTGTTTGAAGTTAAAATGTGGATTGGCCATTGTTAAAAGCCTCAGTGCAAGAAAATTAATTTGATTTTAAACAGTATGTTTTGTTGAATCTTGAACATACTTGAGATGAGACCTTTGATTTAGATTTCGGATAATATATTTAAGCTAGAAAATTTAATATGTTGCCTAATACTACATATACTTTTTGTATGTACAGCATTTTATTTTGAAATTGTTTTGCAATTCAACAAATGGTATATGATCAAATTAATTTAATCACATACGTATGGTACTTTGAGTTTCATGTATGATGTAATGGATTTTCATGCAATTTAATCATGTATCCACCAAAATCATGTCCACTTCTTGACTTGTTCACAAATTATTAATTTCCATGATTTTTTTTCTTTATTTTGGATGATTTTAGTGTGCTTATTTCTATTTAAAAAACTTGGCTAATAGTAACTTTCTTAGGCCCCATTTGGGATTACTTTTTTTTTTCGCCAAAAACCTGCTTCACTTTAAAGTTAAGTAGTTTAAGGTGTTTGGTAAAAATAAAATATCCTGATTATTTTAAAAGTAATGGCCTTTTGACAGTAGCTTTTAAAAGTAGCTGCTATGTTGCTTTTCAAAGTTGATTTCAAAAGAAGCAGAAATGAATCTTTAATGAATTTTTTTCAATTCCCATAATAACATTATTAATTTTTAAAAATAACCTCGTCTACTAGCACCACCTTCATCACCATCACCACCTCCACCTCCACCACTACCACCACCTTCATCATCACCCCCACCACCACCTTCATCTCCACCTCCACCTCCACAACCACCACCACCACCAACAACTCCTCCTCCTCCATCTCCACCTCCACTCTCATCACAACCACCACCATAACCACCACATGATTAGCACATAACACTTTCAACATTATGTCTATTTTAGTTATTATTCACAGTTACAAAAGTTTTATATTAAAATTTACCAAACGGTTTTGACATTGCTTTTTATACTAACAACACTTTAAAAATATTGTTTACCAAACATGGAACAGCTGTACTTTACAGCTGATTATTTTCAAAGCACAACAAAAGCTGCTTTTTTAAAAAGTGACAGTAATCCCAACAAAAGTGAAGCTGCTTTTATAATGCCATCACTTTCATTCTTTCATTCGGCAACATGTTAGTTTTCCTTCAAATTTGTAATTTTTTATTATTAATGTTTGTGGAAATTTATGGAGATTAAAAAGATGAATTAATGTACTTGTAAGACAGGTTTATTATTCTAATGTAACACAATTGGCTTCTTCGCATCAAGATAAGGGATGTCACTCGACCATATATACATTATCCATCCTTCTGCAAGCCAGATTATATATATATATATATATATATATATATATATATATATATATATATATATATATATATATATATATATATATATATATATATATATATATATATATATATATATATATATATATATATATATATATATATATATATATATATATATATATATATATATATATATATATATATATATATATATATATATCATAAAATGAGTTAAATTCCAATTACGAATTACTCATGCTTTTACTTCACATGAAGGAATGAAAGTATAATAATTCCTGATTTTGGAGGAATTGACTTTTGGGTGGGGAGGTATTCTAATTTCTAGAGAACTAACCCATAAGTAATTTATCTTTTCTATCCATTATACCCTTCACATATATTTTTTTTTAATTTACCATTTACTTTAACCCAACAAAAATTTGCATATAAAATAATTTATTTAGAATAAGAGCATTTTAGTAATCATATGAGTTTCAATTCCGATTTATGGGGATTTAGTAAACAACTTATAAGAAATCAGTATCATTCCTTACCCGATTCGAGTTAGTTTAGTAAACAACTTCAATGGAATCCGGATTCTAACTCCTCCTTAATTCATTTTCTCCTCATCTGATTACAGATTAGTAAACATGTATAAACATTAAAAAAAAGACATTATGTAAAATCTTGAGAAAATACAGTAATTACCAATTATAAAAACTTGTTGAAGTGAAAGAGTAAAAGTCTGTAAGAAATATAGAGTCAGTTTATAAACCTTGGTTATAAAAAAAAAAGGAGTCGGTATCACCTGGATTTAATGTTTTGATATTAAATTTGACAAAAAATAAAATATGTTGATATTAAAAGTTCCAATACCCCACCTTCTTTTCTGACCACTTATAAAGGATCATGCCATTTGCCGAAAAAAAAACTATATATCATAGTTGCAACCTCACGCGACTTAGCTTAACTTCTACCTCTCTCACCACCACCACCAACGATGTCCAATATTTCATCAACTCCTCTCCCACTCGATAGGTATTTCTTTGCTTTTCTTTTCTTTGATTTGCTTTGCTTTGCTTTTTTTTCTTTTCTTTTCTTTTTTGCACATAAAGCTGCTCGTTTCCCAAGCTCATCGTTGGTGCATGTTTAAGGTTCAACTGGGGATCGACCATTGTTAAATCCTCAGTGCATGAAGCTTAATCTGATTTTAAAGATGGAAAATTCAGTGTTCTTCTTTTCCATTTGTTGAATCTGTATCTTGACCTTGGATTGTAGATTTTGGATAATATAAGCTAGAAAATTCAGTATGTTGCCTATGACTTTATAGCATAATCATACTCTGGACTATATTAGTCCAAGCATTTTTTGTCCAGACAATCATCTTGTTTTCTTTTTCTTTATGTTCAATTTTTTTGTTGTTCTCTGCTGGCCTTAATCCTCCTCCTGTTTTGTGATGGCAGGAAATGTTCGCTTGCCCTTATTGCTCCTCTCGAAGCAATTCTATTCGACATTGATGGAACATTGTGTGATTCAGATCCCCTCCATTACTATGCTTTCCGTGAAATGCTTCAAGAGGTAGGCTTTAATGGAGGGATTCCTATCACTGAGGAATTCTACAGTGAAAATTTTAGTGGAAAGAACAATGAGTATCTTTGCAGTACCGTCTTTCATGATTGGGATCTCCAAACAGCAAGGAAATTTTTGGACGACAAGGAAGCCATGTTCCGGAGGTAACTTAAAAGAAATTATGTCATATATTATATACTTGATCACTCATTTATGGTATTTGCTGCTACATAATGGTTTGCTATATTTATTTATATATATCAAGCATGTTGTGTTACCTGTCAATAGTCTAGTTTGATAGTTTGTTGGCACACATTTCCATAGTGTTCAAGTTTTGCTTCTATTCCTGAACCTGACTTAATAAAGGACATATGCAGATTGGCAGCTGAACAATTGGAGCCTGTCAAGGGTCTGGATAAGTTGCGCAAGTGGATCGAAAATCAAGGCTTCAGAAGGGCTGCTGTAACAAATTCTCCAAGAGCTAGTGGCGAGCTAATGATATCATCTTTGGGGCTCTCGGATTTCTTTGAAATTCTTGTTATCGGAGTCGAATGCACACGGGCAAAACCATTTCCTGACCCTTACTTGAAGGCTCTTGAAACACTTCAAGTGTCTCATAAGCATGCTTTCATCTTTGAGGTTTGTCTTTAAGGACTGTCTGCTTTGAATTAACGAATAACGATAACGTTCCTGAGTAAATTTTGATATAACTTGCACTCTTTTTTTTTTTTTTTTTTTTGGGGTGGTTAAGGATTCTGTTTCTGGAGTGAAAGCTGGAGTAGCAGCTGGAATGCCAGTAGTTGGTTTAGGCACAAGGAATCCCGAGACATGGTTGACTGATGCCGGAGCCTCTTTCGTTATTAAAGATTTTGAGGACCCAAAATTGTGGGAAGCACTGGAAGAGTTGGAGAGGAAGGCAGAGGCAACAACAGTTGCAACTTGAAATGGCAGTAACATATTACATATAATACAGGAACAAAAGCTGTAAACTCAAATTGATGAGGCACCAATAGACAGTATCTATCTAGTTAATAAGCCTTATTATGCTTATGTTCTTGTACCTTAATATAATCTGTTCTTTTTGTTCTGACTTATCTCAAACGATTCTTCTTTCGATGACTTATGAATAAAAGCTTAATTTTTCCAAGAAAAAAAATTCAAATAACATCATCTCAAGATTGAGGTAATGACATTATTATGTTTAGATAAATGGTTTTTATTCTGTCATTCCAATTTATTATGTTTATATAACACACTTTGCTGCTTATTGGCACCAAGGCAATCAGGAATTCAAAGACTTCTAATCCTTGCTTGAAACAGATTTTAAATCCTTTTTAAAATCCTTTTACCAAACGGAAAGATTTTAAATCCTTCTCCCAAACATATTTCAAAACCTTTTGAAGTTGATAAACTTTTTACTCATATCATTGAATTCGTATTTCGTATACAATGTGAAGAACTCAATTAATACGTATAGGTATTCAATGTAGCTTGCTTGCACTTGTTGCAAACAGAGGCACGTGAGCAGAAGTTTTATAGTTATATATACGTACTGTGGTTTCTTTTTTACTCCGGTTCTTCAAGTCTCTCCAGGAATCCTATTCCCACAAGAACATGGATTCTCCACCTCCATATTGTATAAAACTGACTCTCCAACTCTAGACAAAACGCATTATTGATGAGTATGGAGAGGAAGAGGAAGGTGTGCTTGTTTAACATGGTGGTCTCATCATCAGCGAAGATGAGCAAATCAGACGGCAGTGGAGGAGCCACAATGAAGGACAATGCGGTGGTAAGCAGTGTGATCAATCCGTGGACTGGAATGCCGTATTCCCAGAGCTACTATGAGATCCTTGAGAAGAGAAAGACTTTGCCAGTTTGGCAACAGAAAGATGAGTTCTTGAAGGCTCTTAAGGCCAACCAATTTATAATTTTGGTTGGTGAGACTGGTAGCGGTAAAACCACTCAAATCCCTCAATTTGTTTTGGAAAATGTTAATGCAGAAACTCCGGATGGTAAAAGGATGATGATTGCGTGCACGCAGCCACGTAGAGTTGCCGCAATGTCAGTGTCTCGTCGTGTAGCTGAAGAGATGGATGTGAAGATAGGAGAAGAGGTTGGCTACACTATTCGTTTTGAAGACTGCAGCAGTGCCCCTAAAACAATGTTGAAGTATTTAACAGATGGTATGCTTTTAAGAGAGGCAATGGCAGATCCCCTGTTAGAAAGGTACAAGGTGATAATACTGGATGAGGCACACGAAAGAACATTAGCAACAGATGTTCTTTTCGGGCTTCTCAAGAAGGTGTTGAGAAATAGGCCTGATTTGAAGTTGGTTGTGATGAGCGCTACTCTTGAGGCCGAAAAATTTCAGGGCTATTTCAGTGGTGCGCATTGTATGAAAGTTCCTGGCAGGCTTCATCCAGTGGAAATTCTTTACAGTGAGGAACCCGAAAAGAACTATGTGGAGGCAACAATTCGAACCGTTGTGCAGATTCATATGTTTGAGGGTCCAGGGGATGTACTTGTCTTTTTAACTGGGGAGGAAGAGATTGAAGTTGTATGCTGCAAAATTGACAAAGAAATTGCAAAATTGGGGGATCAGTCTGGTCCTGTCAAAGTGTTGCCTCTGTACTCAACTCTGCCTCCAGCTGTGCAGCAGAAAATATTTGAGCCAGTAAGTTCTGGGAGGAAGATTGTGGTGTCAACAAACATTGCTGAAACTTCTTTAACCATAGATGGAATCGTTTATGTTATCGACCCAGGATTTTCTAAACAGAAAGTTTATAGCCCAAGAGGGTGTGTTGAGTCATTGTTGGTGTCTCCAATTTCCAAGGCCAGTGCGCGTCAGAGGGCAGGGCGTGCTGGAAGGACTAGACCGGGGAAATGTTTCAGACTTTACACTGAGAAAAGTTTCCATAATCATCTTGAAGCACAAACATGTCCAGAGATAATGAGATCAAACCTTGCAAATACAGTGCTTACTTTGAAGAAACTAGGAATTGATGACTTGGTTCATTTTGATCTCATGGACCCTCCTGCTCCTGAGACATTGATGCGAGCACTAGAGGTTTTGTATTCTTTGGGAGCATTGGATGACGAGGGTAATTTGACCAAGCTGGGGGAGATTATGAGCGAGTTCCCATTAGACCCTCAGATGTCAAAGATGCTCATCATGAGCCCCGGATTTCACTGCTCGAATGAAATCCTGTCAATCTGTTCAATGCTCTCAGTACCTAATTGTTTTCTTAGGCCTAGAGAGGCTCGAAAAGCTGCAGACGAAGCGAAAGCAAAGTTTGGTCACATGGATGGAGATCACATAACGCTTCTCAATGTGTACCACGCCTACAAGAAGAACAATGAGGATCCTGTGTGGTGCTATCAGAACTTTGTCAATGAGAAGGCATTGAAGGCTGCAGACAATGTTCGGCAGCAGCTAGCACGAATTATGGCTCGGTTCAATCTCAAGTTATGCAGCACTGATTTTAAGAGTGGGGACTACTACATCAACATAAGAAAGGCCTTGCTGGCTGGATATTTCATGCAGGTGGCTCACCTGGAAAGCAACATAGGACACTACAGCACAGTGAAAGATAACCAAGTTGTACACCTGCATCCGTCCAGTTGCTTGGATCACAAGCCAGAGTGGATTGTTTACCACGAGTATGTCCTGACCAGTAGGAATTTTATCCGGACAGTGACGAATATTTGCGGCGACTGGCTAGCTGAGATTGTGATTGCACTAGAAAAATCAGGCAAAAAATTGTGTTATGGAGGGCTTACCTTAAAAGACAGGAAGCAGACTACTTGAAGATTAATGAACAAAATTCCCTTGACACTCTGTTTAAGTTTCCATGTAATAGGAACCTTTAAACATGTTTAAAATTGAACAAAAGAGGCTCCAACAAGCGTGCAATAATCCAAGTTGCTACTACTAACTCTAATTCTGTGTTTATGCATTAACAATGAACTCTCCATATCCTAATTTCACTAGGCTAAATTCACCACCCAAAAAAAAAAAACCATCCTAATTTCAAAAGATTCACCGAAAAAATACTATGAACTCTTTGTAACATGCATTTTCATTCTATAATCTCAAATTCACAATTTGACTCCAAAAAGAATTCCATTTTCGAGCTTCACATAAAACTGAAAACTGATATCAATTACCATACAACTTTTGTTCAGATTTCACTTTCTTTGAAAATTGGAATTAATTATCGAACAAGTTTTTAATTTTTAGTTGTGGAAAAATAAAACCTAAAAACTAAAATGGTTATCAAACGGCTCCCAAGGTTGAAAAAAAGAAGTAAACTATTACATTTTGGAAAAAAAAAAATTATCACATTTGGGATTGACATGCCAAAAATACCTACTATAAATTCAATCACGTGTAGGGACGGACCTAGGTCATGCACCTATAGCCCAGGTGAGTTTTATTATTTTATTCTTATAGTTAGTATATAAGTTTTAGGGTTTAGTCCAGTTCAAAATTAACAGTTTACTTATAAGGAAAATTTAACCTGTCTCATTTTTAAAATTTTGTGTCACTGATCATGTGTAAGCTTTGTATGATTTTAGTGGCATATCCTTGCTCTTTAAAAAAAAAATTATACAAGTGACATTAATAGAGGAGAGAATTAAACGTAGAAATTCAGATGCAAGATTAAGATTATAAATATTTTTTTAATAAGAAAATAATACATTTATGAGAAAAGTCGATAACTCTCTCAAAACACTCGATAAACCCCAAAAACCTCTCTTACTTGGCCATTCTTTTGCTCTACCAGAGCTAAAACAAATTCTTCAGAAGCTGCTGGACTGAGGAGAGAGGAGGATGAGCAGGGCTTGTAGTCTCTTCCAATTGTGCCAGAATCCAAACGGATTACTACTCAGAAGCTCTAAATTTTCCAAAGGTGCCCATCATTCTCTCCTTATCTTCTCTCTCACTTTCCTATCGTCAAAACAAGAAAAATCCCTCCATTTTTTATGTGTATAAACTCTACTGTATGTCTGCCTTGCTTTAAACTCTCTGTCACTTTCCTTCTTGATTTATGCTGTTAATTATTCATTATCTACCACTGTATTTGTTGCATTGTTATTTTGACATTCACGAGCTCATTTCCATTGCAATCTCAAGCAATTCTTCTAAACTCTTTGTTTTCCACCAGTCTGGGCCCGACCCTGAACACTATTTTAGCTTTTTATGAAACCCATCCACGTCTGGTAGCTTTAAGGTTGAGGAAATCATAGAAATTTGCGTTTCATAAAATTGAAAAATCTGTCCTTTAACTATTGGGGTTCTCTGTTAAGTTATTTGTTTCTCCCCTTTTCAATATCCGTTGTGTTCCTGACTATTTTGAGAAATTAAATGTCTTTTGGTTTGGTGCGTGATTACCATATTCATTTTAAACTTAAATGACTTGCACCAATTATAAATATTTGTTTACCCTCCTAGTGCAGGTCCTTACTTGATACCTAGTGCCAGAATTTATCCAGTCCTGTGCTTCTCTAAGGAAATACAAACTTCCGCATATGAAGTTGTCAAGGGAAGCTATGTACCCACAGCCTTGGTTAAACCAGAAAGCAAACCGAAGGTATTTCTCTTTGGTATGTGTATTTATTTTGGTCTTAAGGGCATGTTTAATAGCAAGATGAGGATATAGTGAATAGCGAATGAAGCAAAGCAAGAATTGATATGAAATAAAAACTTCGTACTAAAAAGGAAAAAAGGAAGCAGATGTATTATCATTACTTTCGTAGTTTAACGGAAATATTTAACAAGAGAATGGAGTCATTAAATAGTGTTACTGTGTTCATATAAGTAACTGTATATGTCTTTACTATTATGTGTGAATTCCATCCCTCATTATTTCTTTACTACCATTTTCTTGTTGGATGACAAAAAGTGTGAGAAGTAGGAGTGACCTCATGAATAAGTATCAGGGCATGGTGAAATCTTATGTGAGATGCAGGATTCAAGCATCAAATGACTGAGTGCAATAAGGTATGCCCTTCTGGAGCAGTCAGAGAGGGATATGGGTTTTGATCAAGAACCATTCTGAACTATGCCTTTGACGTTTGGGATTTAGAAGTTGCTGGCATATAGGGAATGGAGTTATTGGAGTGAAAAGAATGGCTGACTTTCCTGCTTCTTTAGTTTGTATTTTGGACTCTGATCTACGGGGTCAATCTCATCACAGGGCAGTAGTTATTTTGTTTGTTTGTTTTCTTTGGGCTTAGCCTGCCTTCTCACACACCCTACCCCAAACCACACCCCCCCC